GATTAACAAGTATGCACTATGCTTCTTCCTCCAACAACATTCTCGGTCTTAGGCCCCAGAAGACTAAACTTGAGTTAAGCATGGAAATGACAGAGAGGACCTTACTTCATCTCTCTATTATTTTCAACTCCATATGATAGGAATATATATTCACTTATTATCTACCAATAGTTATAATTCTCTCTTTTCCTCACCCTTAAGACAACACCGTCCACTGGGAACGACCTCAAAAAACCAGGGCACCAGAAGGGTACTTTTACCAACCCCAGGCTCCCTCTGCTGAGGTGGAGATGACATCCTATGTGCTCCTTGCATACCTCACTGCCCAGCCTGCCCCAACCTCAGAGGAACTGACTTCTGCATCGCACATTGTGAAGTGGATCATAAAGCAACAGAATTCCTATGGGGGCTTCTCCTCCACCCAGGTTTGTGGTTCCCAAATAGTCTTCTCCTCCAGGTTCACTTGACAGTTGGCCAATTTGAAAACAGAACAGTTACAAAGAAAAGAGAAGGTGAATCATTAAATCTTGGAAGAATTACTTAGAAATATTTAAAAACAGTAGGAAAAAAAGGAAAAGGACCCAAGTCATTCCCCCAAACAATTTTCACTAAGCCCTGCATTATCCCATCAATTTGGCTACTTAACCATAAGCACCATTCCTCTCTAAAGCTATATTATAACATTAGCACACATCGGTCGATAGCCACACTCTAGAATAGGGTTTCTGAATAGCAAAAGTGTTGACATTTTGTTCCAGATAATTATTATTGTGAGGGGCTGTCCTGGCCATTGAAAGATGTTTAACAGCCTCCTGGTCTCTCCCCACTAGATGCCAGTAGTATTCTACTCAGTTAAGACAAGACAAAATCAACCCTGGTTGAGAATCAGTGTTAATCCTGCAAGAAATTCTCTAAGATGAACCAGAACATTGTGTGATTAAAAGGAAAGTGACCACATAGAGCTCATTTTGGTCTTCATAGAATGAATGAGAAGTTCTATTTAACCACTCCTAGGAACTCAGACTCTCTACTCCTTTCTAACTGCCCTGAGACCTGTCTTCTTACACACACACACACCTAAAATTGGTTGTTTTTAAGCTAAAGCTCTTAAATTATTTTTTTCATAGCACATTTTTGGAAATGTTTTATGGAGTGCAAAAATGATTGTGTTAACCATCCAGATAATCTGGATTTCCCCTCTTACACATCTTTCAGCATTTTGGATGTACATAATGAAACTTTTGTTTTTTAGGGATATCTATAATAATAAAAGCATAATATGCTAATTAGACCAGATGTCCTTCCTTCCGGACAAAGATGCAGAGGGCGGGGACCCAGGCAGAGGTGGCAGAAGCCCCTGGCCACAGCTGCAGCAGCAGATGGAGGCCCAGGGCCAAGGCCCTTGCAAGAATTTCATGCATTGGGCCTCTAGTTATATATATAAAACTATATATATATAACTCGTGGGCACAGACAATCATGAAGGCTGGGGCAGGGGGCGGGTGCAAGCTAGAAGGGTTCAATGGGGGAAACGGGGGACATATGTAATACTTTCAACAATAAAGATTAAAAAATAAAATTCAATAAGACAGTGACTGGGGGGTGGGGGAGACTATATAAAGGGGAAAAGAAACTTAGGAAAGTGCAACTTGTCTTATACCACACTTTTTATTCTCAGCATATTTCTGTCATTCTTCTATCTAAATTACTGTCTAGTAAATGACAATCACTTTTTTGTCTTAACTTTTTAATTTTAAACCCATTCTTTGAAATATATAAAAAAGAGAAGTATTGATGAGGAAGAGCAGGGCACAACTTCTGGGCATAGAAATAGTCCCTTAGGACAATACCAACACAAGTGAAATTAAATTGTGAATCTAATTTGCATTAATAGTCTTCTATTTCATTTGGAAAAACTGTAGCAACACTTGGATTATGCCTTAAAGGTAGAGAAAAAGAAAAAGCAATTAGCAGGTGTAGACTTTAGGGGAGGAAAGCCATCACGCCCTTGCGGTAGCTAACACAGACTTTTGAGGAAAATCCAAGCCATCAAAAACTTGCTTTTTGGGTGTGGTTTCTCCCCTATCTCTTCCAGGACACGGTGATAGCTCTCCATGCCCTGTCTAAATATGGAGCAGCCACTTTCATCAGGACTCAGAAAACTGCACAAGTGACCATTCGTGATTCAAAAACCTTTTCCACAACATTCCAAGTGGATAGCAACAACCTCCTGTTGCTACAGCAGGTCTCATTGCCAGAGCTGCCTGGGGAATACACCATAACAGTGACTGGGGAAAGATGTGTGTATCTTCAGGTGAGACTCTAGAATTATATTGGAAAAAATCAACTTGAAACTCTCCTCTGAAAAGGAAGCTCTGCTCTTTGCTTCCTGGACAAGTAAAGGGCAAATCTGGAGAAGTTAAATGATGAAAAAGTGAGGCTTCCCAGGAAAAGAAAAACTGACAGTGTCCTTGGTGTTCCACAGACATCCATGAAATATAATATCCTTCCAGAAAAGGAGGATTCCCCATTTTCTTTGGAGGTACAAACTCTGCCTCAAACTTGTGATGGACCCAAAGCCCATACCAGCTTCCAGATCTCAGTGAATGTCAGGTAAGACCTTCTGACTGAGTCAGCTAATCCTGAGTCTAAAAGGTACTTGGAACCATCAATCATTAATATATTTGGAAGCTATGCTAGTAGATAAATGTAATTTAAAAT